ACACTCAAGTAGGAAGAAATAAACTGTATGAATTGAAGCCAACAATTGGTTATACCTACTTGGGTTGTCAGTCAAGACGTGATGAGGTAATTTTACGACGATGTCGTATTGGCCACAGTCGGTTTACTCATGACTATCTGCTGAAAACGGATGAGGATGGACCCCCCATGTGTGTCTCTTGCGATGAGGTTTTCACCATCAAGCATATTCTGCTTGAATGCGTGGACGTATCGTCTGCAAGGGACTCACATTATGATGCAACAAATCTGAAAGATCAGTTCTCCCGCGTGAGCGCTCATCTGATAGTGAACTACCTGAAGGAAGTTGATCTGTATCATAAATTGTAACTGTGAAATGTAACTATCATAAATTGTAACTGTGAAATGTGACTAACAAATTGCCTGCCTTTAAATTTGGTGCTATTGACTTTTCTGCTTTTAAATGACAATGTAATGGATATATGTTTTTGACATAAAACTCATTCCGAGTATGTACTTACAATGTTTATTAATGCAAACTTGTTCTCGTCACTATATGGCTGGAATACTGCCGATGGGACGCAAAACCCAACTCAACTCAACCCCAAGTGATGAAATCAATCAACATTCAATCAGCTTGTTTATCCTGAACGATGTACATCGAAATGCCGCTCTATGCAATAAACAGGGAGTTGTTATCACGTAAGTGTTATGTTTCGTTATGTATCCCCATACTGTTTACTGCAGTATAAGTGAGATCTGCTTCAGTTTGCGAATGAATCTTTTGAAGTTGATTTAGGTTCTACTTTAGTAAACTGCTACCAAACAGATTGATCTCTGATTAAAACATCTCATTCCAAATTCATGTTTTCTATTTCAGGTACTAAGAAATACTGAATTTTTACATATTAGATATAAATCTATCGGGACCAGTTTGACGTGTCTAGTCATGAGTTAACTAACATAGTGATTATATATTTATTACCATTACATGTGTCATTAAAGCGTCATTTATGCCATTATGATGTTCTCTGACCCATTTCACCACACAGCATTTATTTCATTCAATGTTTAAAGAAGTTGACAGCCATAAATCTTGCTTTTTGCACGCATTCCACTTATAAATGCCCATCAAAAGATTTAACTTACTTCCCGAGGCTTCTTTAAGAGGCATAGAATCTTGGAACTTGGTTTTCCTTCCAGTGGCTGTCTAAACTGACTTGACTCACTCATTTATTAACAAGGCAGTAGGTGTTGCTAATTGGTGAATCTTAACTGCCTTGACTCACTCATCAATGAACAAGGAATTAGGTCTTGGGGGGTACAAAGAACAATAATTTACCGCCACCCACCAGTTATCTCCCCTTGTGGACATTTCCAAAATTTTACAATTTTGGAAATCTCATATTTCCAAGATTGGAATGTCTTGGAAACAACATCTTTCCAAAATTGGAAATGTCTGGGAAACAACATCTTTCCAAAATTGGAAATGTCTGGGAAACATCATCTTTCCAAGACATTTCCAAGCTTGTAAATGTGGACTTTTTTTCCAGTGCGTGTCAATCAGATTCGTGACAGAAAATCCAATGATATAAATGATTTCATTTGATTTTTATCAGAATGGACAAGGTCAGAGTTGCTGGCTTATATACGTTTGAGGCTTTTATAAAAGCAACGAGCCATGCCATCATGCTTTTAAAGATTCTGTCTGTACCAACGCTGGGCATCTACTAACAAGGTATTGGGCCGTCAAGATAAATTCATTACCTAATCTACATTTCATATTAATATTTTGAAGCAAATCACACATTGACGGTTTCGTGTATGAGGTAACACATTCCGAGCAGCAAACAGGAAGCCTTCTGTTTCACTTTTCAGGCCAGCCGACTTCACCCAAATGACTCTTCTTCTCAACTGCATATCGGTGCAGCTGTCGTTAAGAGAGCCTTCCATTGAAAACCTGAGTCTGTGCCGACATGACATGGCATTCCCTTCGTGACACTCATTTCCAGCAGTACGGAACCATCAGTATAATCTACATAGATATTGAGGTTATGTGAAGCATCCTTGGCTCTTTTAAGATAGATTGAGCGGCTTGACATGTTTCAGAAGAGAATACATATACATGTAAAAAGCCCAATAAGCTTCTGTTGTGAAGGGCCTTCATGTTAATCAAACTGATAAATATATTCCGTTGAAGGAAGAGTAAGGGCGGTGCTGATTGTCTGATATGATGACTCCAACTGAACTATTATTGCTAAAATCACTACTTCCAGTTTTTAATGCAGTTATAAGTATGCTGCCACTGAATATTAACTGTCAATAAACTTTGTACTGCCACTGTAATTTCCTTCCCATAATTGGAACTGATTTGTAATTTTAGTCAATTTTTGAATTCAACTGTTAACTATATCATATTTCTTTAATATCCGCAGGTTTCACGCCTGAATTTTTTACGTACAAGATACTGGTTCACTTTTGTTTCAACTTAGAAATCGAACAGTGATATAGCCTTAGCTCTAACGACAGCTGGAAGCATTTAATCCGGTTCAGCGCTATTATCAATAAACTCGAAATAGGGATTAGGTGGAAATTGGTTCATTGGTTTCTGAGACTTGGCTGATTACCCATGGTGTGGCCTGTAGTTTCCCAATATAAACTACTTCAAGTTGGCATAGTTGTGGTATTGTTGATCAACAGGTGCTTCATTAGACGAACGCCGTGTCTCTGATATATATATATATATAAGTTTCATGGACACAAATATTTCCTTTTAAATTGAAACACCCATGTGAGATGGAGATTCAGAAATCTAGACTTGTTTCATTTAGGGCTTTAGTATTGCAGAAAGTGCTAAACGAATAGGGAAAATAATGTGGTACAGGGACTGTGAGACAGAATAGTGCTCCATAGTCTGGGGCCTTTTCTAAACGGTGTAATATTGTATGAAACGTATATGAATTTTACGACATTCTCTGTTTTAGGGCAATCTTTATCCCATAACCATGTCATAGTAGTATATAATAAAATATGATTTACCAGAAAAAGCCTAATCGAAGTTTGAATGATTTGTAAATTACTGTAACACTATAACACATCTATAACAATAATTCTATGAGTGCCAATTCGACCGAGCCGACTTTCCGTTGTGCCATACTCAAGCAGGTGAGTAAGTGTAGTTTTACACATGTCATCGTATCCAAATTTTGTAGATCGATGCTCATGCTGTTGATCACTGGATTGTCTGGTCAAGACTCGACTTTTATAGATCGGCGCCATACAGCTGGAATACGACTGAGTGCGGCGTTAAACAACCAACCCTCAAATTAGCGTTATATACCGTGAGTGAGTGAGTGAGTGTGGTTTTCGCCGCTTTTAGCAATATTCAAGCATATAACGGCGGGGGACACCAGAAATGATCTTCACACATTGTACCCATGTGGGGAATCGAAGCCAGGTCTTCGGCGTGACGAACCAACGATTTAACCACTAAGCTACCCCACCGCCCCTGTTATATACCGATAGACCATCGCTCAAAGAGGTACCTTTGACATGTTCTATCCCTAACCAACACTCTCGTCGTTAATTGTACTAGCCACATAAAGATACTGTGCACACAGAAAATTCCTTCAGAATTGGCATACAACACAGAGAAGACGAAATGATGTAGACACTTTAGAAGCTGAAGTATCGGACCACAACAAAATGTCAAAAGAACATGAACAATATTCGTAACGGTGACGTCAGAAGTTCTAAATCGAGTACGGCGTCACATGACGAAGTCACGAAGTCAATAACGGGTATGACCACCATGTGCGTGAAGCACAGCAGTGCATCGACAACGCATAGAGGCTATACCAAATGAGCAATGAAGGACTGGGGAATGGTATTGGACGTGGTCACTGCCACCTGGAACCTGTGTCTGAGATGAGTCACCGGAATCAATCTGTTCTGTCTTGGCGTCGTTACGTAGGGGATGCCCAGAACGTGGGTGGGTTGGCGACGTCATTAGTGTTTCGATCACGTCTGGTCAATGCAGGTATCGTGTTACGTTGGCATTGGAAATGTGCTGCCACCTGCCAGGCTCATTCCTGCTCGAACCATTCCAATGGCTTCATGACGTTAAGCAGATGTTAACCTTGGCATGGTGTGCATGTGACTACTCATATGAATTTGTGAACGTTTGAATGACCAAAGATCAAGCTTTAGACAGTGACAGCAATTTCTGAGTTTCACATGTCGCGTGCAGAAACACATTGCAAGTCCATAGGCCACCATCAATGACGTCACGTTGCCTGGCACGCGCATGAACATTTGATTGTCTCCAATACTTGCTATGTTTACACTTGTATTTATGTACAAAAACGCTGTGTGCATACATCAATATTTTCTGTGTGCACAGTTTCTTTATGTGGCCAGTATATATACATATTCAGAAATTTAAATATCACAGCTAATACAGTTTCATACCTTTAAATGGTGGGCATAAATTCCAGACGTTAACAGGTCCGCTTTGGGAGTACTGGCCAATTACCATCTCCAAGAACACACATGGAATTGCGCCCATGAAGGTGAAGAAGAGAAAAGGTATCAGGAACACACCTGTAAGAGAATAGTTTCACAATTGGGCCTGTAAGTCTCGTGAGGCGCTACTTTTGGTGTTAAGCTGGTTCCCGGCTCCCTTTGCGCGCGCCAACATACGATATGCGAGACGTACCCAGCTTACTTCCGGTACCAGATTTCCTGTGACAAGCGTATACCCATGAGCAAGTTCAGGTTCCAAATTGCGCGACCTTACAAGACCAGACCAAGTGTACAACCATGCTCGGCTGTCACAGCTGGTGGCAGTCGTAATAGTGTATGTCCATATATATGACAAATGCTCTATATGAAGAGTTTTCTTGAATGAGCAGTGGTGTGACGTCATAACTGAACTTTTTCCAATTGGCATTTATTCCTAAGTTGATGCTTACTCACATCACTTTTTTTCCCCAAAACGGAAATTATCAAAATGATACTTACCTCCACCATTACGCATACATAAATACGGGAACTTGATGAGTGAACCCGCCCCAATGCTGCCACCGAGAAGGGTGATGAGGTAGTCCAGGTGGTGACGCCATCGTTCAGGGACCATAGTGCAGCGACACAGTCACACACTAGCTCGTGTATTCCACGGCTGGTGTATAACACATACAACAGGTAATATGGGTAGCTCCCAGCTTCAGATACACGTCACTATTACGTCAGCGCAAGAGAATAACCAATCAGGACACACTATATGATACTGCCTGCGTTTTATGATAGTCACTTATAGTACGTATACTAAGCATATATGGAATAATGTCTGGAAGAACCATTTCATATACAGGAATACACTAGTACTGTTTGCTTTTAATGTAAGACGTTTGGGCTATGTTTATCCGTAATGGGAGAACGAGTCAAAGGGTTTAAATGCAACACAAAAAGTTCACATCTCTCGATTTCTGTATGTTTAGGTTATTTGAAGAGTAATTACACCTACACGTAATGAGGCGTTTAACACGCTACTGAACACATGCTAGACACGCGAACTATTAACTGACAACGGGTTGAAACAGGTGCGATGGTTTTGACATAACATTGGTTATAATTGTGAGGGGAGTCATTAAAACATCTACTACCTATTACCTACACATTACAATGGAATAGTCCAAATAAAAACACAGGAACAAACTGAAGCTATATTATTTATTTTGAAAGATGGACGAAAAGACAGTAATTTGAATTTTTATTGCTGCAATATAAAAACAGTTTATTTTCATAAACATATCGGTTTAACCTTCCAGCCTAGATGTCGGCATCATCATATTGAAAACATTAGCTAAGCTATTAGAAATAGCGACACTGTTGTATTATATAAAAATCAAATAAACACAAATGTAAACCTAAATATTATTCATATGGAATAAAGAAGTTATATGTTTTGCACACAATATCAAGATATATGACGAGTGCACTTAATTACGATTTATTTAGAATAAATATTTAAAATATGACGCATCATGTCAATGTGAGTGAGTGAGTGAGTGAGTTAATATTTAACGTCACATCGGCAATATTTCAGCCATATCGTGACGAGAACATTTGATATTGAAATGAAATATATGTATATTATAAAAAAACCTGCCGACGAAGGACAGTAAAACAACTAGAATATCACAATTTGAAGTAAAACTAGCGTAGAAAGTTAAAACAAATACTAGTAGCACTATTTGGACAACACAATATAAAAAAGTGGCTAGAGATCGGCAACAACTGAAGGGAGATCTCCATACTAGGGACCATGGGGACTAACATTACTTTTGCTACCTGCATTTACACCATCCCTTCAGCCATTGGCACAGTTAAATGCAGGATTAGACTCGTTAGAATAGTGAGTGAGTGAGTGAGTTAATATTTATCGTCACATCGGCAATATTTCAGCCATATCGTGACGAGAACATTTTAATATTATATTAAAGATGAATAAAGTTAGAAATTAAAAACCTGTTGACGAAGAACAGTAAAACTACTAGTGTATGACAGATATCCATTTAAAACTAGCAATTAAATCTATAATATTGGAACGAGCAATGACAATACAATATAAAAAACAAGCTGTAGATTGCTAACGACGGAAGGTAGATCACCATACTAGGGACCATGGGGACTTACAGTACATTTGCTTCCTGCATGGACTCTAGCTGGATTTACACCATCCCTTCAGCCGTCAGCAAGTTTAGACAAATGAGCCATAAGTTAAAATAACACATATTCTACGATTAAAACTAATGGTATGTTTAAATTTAGTTTGAATGTTTTGGGACTTACGTACCCCACAGGAGGACAATAATTTTACAGTGCTTCAACCCCCTGTGAGGACACAGCCACTAACAATCTCAGCTGCTCAATTAAACTACCAATTCTAAAATATTTATCTATTTACAATTCATTCAACAAATCTAATTCTTTTAAAAATGCAATAACTAAATGAGGACTGATATTATTAAAAAGATCCTTCATCGTTCGTGATTTGAAATAGATATCCCTTGTGATGGAGTACTCAACACAGTCAAGCAAGACATGCTTGACCGTGATTCTTTCATCACAAGGGATACAAAACGGAGGATCCTCACCTTTTAATAGATACGCATGCGTATATCTTGTGTGGCCAATATGACATCGTCGTATGATGACCTCTTCAAATCTGGACTGACAACCCAAGTAAGTGTAACCGATATAGGGTTTTATTTCATGTAATTTATTGATACCTACTTGGGTGATCCACTTCTTTTGCATCAGATCACGGATATAAGATCTTATAGCAGCTTTGTAATCAGAATATGGGATAAGAAGTGGTGTCACAGATTTGTTGAGTGCTGCCTTAGCAGCAAGATCAGCCATGGTGTTCCCAGAAATGCCAACGTGGCTGGGTAACCAACAAAAGACGATGTCGCATTGACCAGTAGCAAGCTCATTATACAATTCAATAATTTCTAATAAAAGTGGATGTTTACAAGAAAGATTGTTAATAGGCTGAAGACAAGAAAGAGAATCGGAAAAGATGATGTATTGCTTATATTTACGATGTTTATTAATATATTTAAGAGCTGTTAATATGGCGTTAGCTTCTGCTGTGAAAATAGAGCTGTTATTTGGTAGTCGAGAAGATATTGTTCGGGATCCAATGACAGTGGCACATGCCACCATCCTTGGACCCATCTGTAAATAAGGATTTGTAAGTATTATATTTATTTTTTAATTGATTATATTCTTGTTTATATTGTAATTCATTAGTTACATATTTCTTAAACTTTGTCAGAGTTAGGTCAACTTCAGGCCTCACCAGCTGCCAAGGAGGAGAAGAAAGAAGACGGGAAGGAGCTATATTTTCCAGCTCAATGCCGGCAGCAGAAATGAAGGGCTTAATTCTGTGCCCAAGAGGCGGAACAAGAGAAGGCTTTTTGTTGTATAAGTCCTCATAGAGGGGATTGAAAACACAGTTAAATGCAGGGTTAGACTCGCTAGAATATAGTTTAGTAATGTATTGTAAAGATAATTTTATACGACGTTGTGTAAGAGAAGGCTCATCTGCCTCAACATATAGACTATCAATAGGAGAGGTTCTAAAGGACCCAAGACAAAGTCTTAGGCCTTGGTGGTGGACAGAATCAAGTAATTTTAGGTTGCTTTTGCAGGCTCCACCATATACGATGGAGCCATAATCAAGCTTCGAGCGGACCAGTGACCTATAGAGGTGCAGGAGGGTAGTTTGGTCCCCTCCCCACTTTGAATTAGAAACGACTTTCAATAAATCAAGTGCCTTCAGGCATTTAGTTTTTAAGGATTTAATATGCGGAAGAAAGGTTAAATGGGAATCGAAAATCAGACCCCAAAACTTGGCCTCTTTTACAACCTTGATGGGAATGCCATTTAAAACAGTTCTGGGTCTTTATGTGGTTTATATTTACGGCAGAAATGTATGCAATTAGTTTTTGATTTAGAAAATTTAAAGCCGTTTTCAAGACACCATTTATTTATTTTGTTTAAACACAACTGTAGTTGCCGTTCAATGGTATGCATATTCTTACCGCGACAAGAAATGTTAAAATCATCCACAAAAAGTGATCCGTCGATTGAATCATTTAAAACCTTGGATAAACTGTTGATCTTAATACTAAACAATGTTACAGACAAAATACTGCCTTGTGGGACACCCTGATCCTGATTATAATGGTCAGACAGGGTTGAACCCACCCGGACTTGAAATTGCCTGTCTTTTAAAAACTTTGATATAAAAAGAGGTAAACGACCCCTTAAACCAAAGTCATGTAAATCCTTTAAAATGCCATGCTTCCAGGTCGTATCATAAGCTTTCTCAAGATCAAAGAAAATTGATACAGCATGTTGTTTATTTACTATAGAATTCTTAACAAAGGATTCTAAACGTACCAAATGATCAATGGTACTACGATTTTTCCTGAAACCACGTTGAATATTTGTTATAAGGTTATTGGTTTCAAGATACCAAGTTAATCTATTATTCACCATACGTTGCATGGTTTTAGAAACAGAGCTAGTTAGAGAGATCGGCCTGTAATTCGACGGATCTGTATGATCCTTGCCAGGTTTTGGTATTGGGACTACAATGGCATTACGCCATGAAAGAGGAAAGTCTCCAGACGTCCATATTTGGTCAAATATATCTAAAAGTGTCATCAGACATGGTTCAGGTAAGTGTTTCAGTAGCTGGTAATGTATATTGTCATCACCCGCTGCAGTGTCATGAGCTTGCTCAAGAGCAGTATGTAGCTCATGTTATGAAAACACTTCATTATAATCTTCACCGTTATGTGATTCGAAATTAAGTTTTGTCTTTTCCTGTTGCTTCTGATATCTCTGAAACTCAGGGACATAATTTGCCGATGATGAATTTTTGGCAAGAGTTTCGCCAATTTTATCTGCAATTTTAGATTTGTCAGTTTTTAAATTATCGCCATCTTTAAGATGGTGAACAGCAGATTTTGAACCTTTGCCTTTAATTCTTTGAACCATGTTCAATACTCTGGACATTGGCGTACGTGAATTAAATTTGGAGACATAATTTCTCCAAGATTGTCGTTTGTTTTGTTTAAAAGTACGACGCGCCTTTGCATTGAGTATTTTAAATTTATTTAAGTTATGGACAGTTGGATGATGGCGGAAATAACGCTCGGCCTTTTCCTCGCTTTTCTGGCTTGTCTACAATCTGTATTAAACCATGGTTTTCGTACATGTGGAGTCGTAGAGGACTTCGGTATACACTCATCAGCCATTTCATTTAAAACGTCAGCAAAAGTTTGAATGGGATCAGTTATATCACTGAAACATTCAGGTCGCAGTTTCGATTTACATATAGTTTGATAGAAAGACCAGTTAGCCTTCGAAAAGTTCCATCTTGTAAACGATGGAGAATCAGATGGAGTTATTTCTGAAAGGATAGTTGGGAAGTGGTCACTTCCACAAAGGTCATTATGAACAGACCAATCAAATTCATTCAGGAGGTTAGAATCTGCAAGAGACAAATCTAGAGAAGTGAGTGAGTGAGTGAGTTTAGTTTTACGCCGCACTCAGCAA